CCCCAACAACACAGTCGTCTTCACACAAATTACGATGCCAGAGAGATAACAGGAGAACTTCATTTGCAAAGATGCGGACCTTTTCTCGCCTGATACCTAAATTCCCGCCAAGTTCTTCCGTAACTCCCCTCTCTGTCTTTGCAACCTTGTTGTGTTATGCTCTCTAAAATATTAATAGTATACCCACTTCTTCAGTTACCAGCGCACCATTTCATCTTCACTTCACACTAGGCAGTGACACTAACAGCACAAAAACACTCAGAAAAACTAGTTCTTGCATCGCTCCCTTTAGACCTTTAGATTATTAAATGGATGCATGAAAACAGGATTATAGAGAAAGCATGTTCAATCTGTGCGCTGTAAATGTTTCATGACAACATTGTCTTTCTAATTCTTTTCCTCACTTTCTTTCACACCACCACATGATCAAAGTTTCTCTTAGTTTTCGACTATATGGGTCAGTTTCTTAGAGACGTCTGGCTTAATCCGAATCCGTGCATCTCGATGCAGTGCGTCCGTCTTATTGTGTGGTTGGTCTTTCCACACTGATTCCACATCAGCTCATTACGTGGCACTAGATCACTTCTTATCTCACCATGGCAGGGTGGGAAATAATTCTGCCTTCTTTTTCTCCCCTTCAACATATCCCTAACGTCCTCGTGCCCCGAAGCTTTCTCTTCAAACACAAAGCCAGTTCATGCAAAATGTCGACCTCTTTTTGACACCTTGTCATTTTCAAGTGGAAACAGAGGCAGTGTCTTCTGTGTGTGTGTGTGTGTGTGTGTGTGTGTGTGTGTGTGGAGACAAATCTAGTATAAAGCTGTAGTCCATTGATGTTACAGAGTAATTTGTTCCACTGTCAGCGCTCGCTCTGGGTCGGAGCAGGCGCCGAAGAGGACGTTGATCACAAGGCAGCCGAGCGCAGCTGATACAGACAGACCATATTTCTCTTTCCAAACCGTTTGCTCCTCAGGAGCCGGCATGGAAAAATGAATGGGTTTTCCCTGCGCCGTCACACACACATGCACATACACACCCGAGCAAATAGAGGCCTGCACACACATGCTCGCTCACACCCAAATACACAATGTGTGCACACACTAACAAGACGTCTAGACTAGATCACAGAAACAATAATGGATAAGTCCATGAGGATTTTGGGGATTGATAGATTGTGTCTGTGCGTCTTGATCCGAATCCTGCTGTCTGGTTAGTGTGTGTATGTGTTTGCGTGGATGCCATTACATCAGGCCTCGCTCTAAGACAAAGCAGTCCACAGCAATAGCGCCCAAAATTGCGACACGGTTACCTACACACACACAAGAAAATACAATATTGGTATTCCTTCCAGTCTCTCAGCTCCCTCCCAGTTCATATCACATCCACTTTTCTCCGCGGGAGTGCAACTGACAGCTAAGAGGTTAGTTAAGTTCAAGGCACGCTCCCGAAAATAGCCACTTTTATTCTGCCACTCTTAAACTGCTTTTACTTCACGAGTCAACAGAGATCAGAGGAGGCCGGCTATCGAGGGAGAAGAAAGACTCGACTTTTGTGGAATCGTAGAATAAACACAGCGAGACAGAGAAAGCACAGCGTCTGCTGGCTGAATTGGAAGCGGTTCACCACGCGCTGAATTGTCGTAAAGCATCACGCTTCTCACAGAGTGCTGGTTATAGGTGTGTGCTTGTAGGGGTGTGCACTCGAATCTCATTCTCACATCAGTCTAGACTTATTACCCTTCGTCGACCTGACTCTCTCAGTCTCTTACTCAGTTTCTCTTTTTCTGTCTCATGACTAAGCAGCAAAACATTTTTATAACTGGGATCAATCAGCACAAAGTATTATTAGTCATCATCAAGTATTTGCTTTCATGCTCTTCTGTCAGCATGCTGCTGTCCTGGTGAGACATTTCTCACTGTATTAATATTTAATATGAAAGGACTGACTGACCATGGCCTGGCTGAATAAATGTTAAATGAAAACGATAAATAAAATATATTTGTACTATACAAGAACAATGATTACAGGCCTCTTCACCTTAACACAAGAGCAACATTTGCAAAAACACTAAACCTGATTTGAACTCTTTGAAGCAAACATCTGAGAATATGTATCCCATGTGGTGTTGCAAACATTTTTTGTTTTGTTTTGTTTTAGCCATAGATGTAACAAGTGTCATGCTTCAAAGAAACATCACTGATGGAGGAATTCACCTTCTGTTTCATGGCTCTTGAATTAAATACTATCTCTCAAACTTTTTGAGAGTTGTCTTGAGTTGGGAAAAACAACCAAACTGACCACCATGAATTTTTCAAGTCGTCCAGTGGGGCATTTATTTTAGACCAACAGATGTTTGTGCAGTCCTTCAACAGAGAGAGGGCTTTGAAAGACTGCTTTGAATTCTTATTTTAAAATCCATGTTGGAAATGTATCTGAAAAATAAAGCTTTATATGATAAGAATTATATAAGAAGTTTAAAGTATCTGTTTTGTGATTGGTTACTTCTAAGAGTAGACTGTGGATTTCTAAATTTCCCAGGACTTAAAATACACACTAAGGAAACGTGTAAATTACAAACAGCAACAAAAACGATACGTAAAGATAGGCATTAACATAATTAATTAAGCTGAGTTCAAACATAAGGCTTTTTTTCCATACCTCCTCTGAAGAGCCTTAGTAGTTACAACACAGGAACACAAGACCCTGGACGGGTCACCAGACTATCACAGGGCTGACACATAAAGACAGACAACCATTCACACTTACATTCACACCTACGGACAATTTAGAGTCACCAATTAACCTGCATGTCTTTGGACTGTGGGAGGAAGCTGGAGTACCCGGAGAAAACACGCAAACTCCACACAGAAGCTCTCCCCCACCCCAGGTTTGAACCAGGAACACTCTTGCTGTGAGTGTGTGAGGCGACAATGCTAACCACTGCACCAGCATGCTGCCCATTTGTTGGATCATTAGATTGATATTACTCTCATGTCTGTATGTTACAGCTGGAGCTACAGCCAGCAGCTGGTTAGCTCTGCTTAGCATGAAGGTTGGAAAGAGGAGGAAACGGCTAGCTTGACTGTGTACAAAGAAAATAAAGAAAAGTAGCAGTTTCCACCTCTTTCCTGTCTTAAGCAGCTGCTAGCTGTAGCTACCCAGATGAAAGAAAGACGTTGGACTTGAATTTTGGTTGGAATGAAAATGCTGACAATATTTGTATTGGTCTAATGCAGGTGTGGGCAACCTGTGGCTCCTGAGCCTCCCTGTGGCTTTGACAAAAAAATTATATTGAAATGATTAACTTTTTTTTAACATTTTAATTTTCATTTATCAATGTTGTGGGCCTAAAGCAATTCCTACATTCTCCAATTGTAAAAATGTGAAGAAAAAAAAAGTTTTAACATTTCAACATCTAAAATGTGTGTAAAACATCTACTGCCTGGCACCTTCTCCTCAGAATTTTGCCTAACCTTGACAGCAGTGGCTAGTCTTGAGTCTCCCTGACTGGTTAGCTATGGATGCCAAATCCAAAAAGGTAAAAGTCTTGAAATAATTTGCTTTCACTGCCAGCTCTGCAAAGTTGAAGTACAAAATAATCATAAATAGTTCCCTTTACAGTAGGCAAAACATAGTAATGAAGGCTAATTTAGACTTAACAGGCTATGTCACCTAGATAATAATACTCAAATATGTTTTGTGGCTCCACAGATTATTTTCATTGGCAGCAAGGTGGTACAGTGGTTAGCATTGTCGCTTCACAGCAAAAGGGCTCCCAGTACAAATCCAGGGTGGGGGTTCGAACCCCAGAGTGGAGAAGCCCTTCTGTGTGAAGTCTGCATGTTCTCCCCATGTCAGTGTGGGTTTCCTCCAGGTACTCCAGCTTCCTCCCACAGACCTAAGACCTACAGATTAATTGGTGACTCTAAATTGTCCGTATTATTTTTGGTCAAAAATTGCTTTTTTGATAGTAAAGGTAGCTGAGCCCTGGTTTAACAACATTAGAATTTCATGTTGTGTGGATGTTACCATTATGATGTTTTACAGACATTTGATTTTGGCCTCCATATAAATGCTGTTGCTCTATGTTAAACTGATGTTGGCATTAGACATCTGTCATTAAATTTTGGTAACCTGATGTTACAACAAAAGTTCAACAAAATATCGATGTCAAACAATGTTGGTGACCAACTGGGATATTTAGTGCGGTTGATAACCACTGCCCTGATGTGTTGGGTAAAGTTCAGAGTTGCCTCAAAAGTTGTGAAGCTTTCATTAACCGTCTCTCTCCTTTTTTCTTCCATCCCTCTCTCCCTCTTCTTCACCTTTCCCCCCCCTACAGCGTCCTCATCACGCCCACGCTCTCTTCGACTTCACCCCCCACCACCCATCCCAGCTACGCTTCCTGCGTGGCGACGTCATCGAACTCATTGACTGCTCCGATTCGCTGCGCTGGAGGGGCCGTTGCCATGGACATGTGGGCTACTTCCCCCCTGAGTACGTCCAGCCTATTTACCACTGCCAGTGACCTGGCACGTCAAACACAGAGCCATTCCTACAGGTTCATCGATGAGTTGTCTTGACCCCGCCCTTCACACTGCTCCCCTGCGCTGCACCTGCCCATTCACTTTTGGAGAACTGACGAGCCGCAACTGAATGCCTCGTTATGTAACTGCCTCCTCCCATTTCCCCTGTGATAACCCCACGTGTCAATCACAAGCCTCGCCCAATCCGCTGCTACAGGCTCATCAATCGCTTCCACCTGATCTTATAACTCCACTTATTCTTTAATTATGTAATAAAAAAATGAAGATATGGACCTATACACTGTGGAGAACTCATACACACACACACACACACACACACACAGACTGACAAACCCACTCACACAGCCCCAGGCATAATCATTTATTAGAGCTTATCAGCACTGGTGCAGGCTAAATAAAAGCAACACACACACCTGATGAAAAAAGGAAGGAGTGTGTGAGACCCATGGGAGGCTGTGGAGGAAGGGCGAGGTTTTCTCCGCTGAAGATGAGTCAGGATTTGCTCATCTACTTTGCTGCCGTTCCCACGAAGAGATCCGGTGAGCTTAGCAGAGAGACACAGAGAGTCATTGTGAATATTTGGGGCAGACACTCCGAGGATACTGACACAGCAGATTCCTCTCTCGCTGGGCGGGTGTGTGTGTGTGTGTCTGCGGAGGAGTTTGTGGGTCTGAACAAATGTAACTGCAAACTTTATGTATGTGTCTGTTTATTGTGTGCTAAGGGAAAGTGAATGAGTGTGTGTATGTGTGTGTGTATATGTGTGTGTGCTCTGTGGACCAGTACAGGAGGTTACTGTGTGTAAGTGACCAGTGAGATAAACACTGCCCAGACGACACTTTGTTTTAAAGCACACCGCTTGAAATGTAATTCGCTCAACTCAATTTAGGAACCGTTTGTTTGTTTGTTTGTTTGTTTCCATGTATTTATTCTTATTCATGTGTAATCTTAGAATACATACAGTATATTACGAGTAATAAAAAACATTGTATAAAGGTTTTTGTTTCTGTTGCAACAAATAGTTTAAGATGCCACATTTTATGTGATGAACAGTGAGAAGTTGGACCGGTCTTCCTTGACATGTAATGACAAATCATTTAAATAAAGTGATACATTTACCTCTTTGAACTTGAAGCCTGGACATTGTCGTTTACTAACATTTAAATTTCTGTTAAGATTTTGTCTTTTGCAATGTGATATGAATATGTGAGTGTACGCAAAATACCATAAAATTTGCAGATTAAAAAAAAAAATAAAAAATAGATGCCAGTCCCTGCAGGTGGGTTGCCCACAGGGTGGCGACTTCATGTTATTCACTGAGCTGAGCCCGACTGCCAGGCACTCGTTAGTGAGCTCCCCCCAAGGTCTGGCTCCAGAGGGGGGCCCCGGTGTCCCCATACTGGGCGAGGTACTCTGTCTCCGACTGTACCATTTCAATGTGGTCTTCTTGAACCTTCTTGTTGGGAGTTAGCTACTGCCTGTGTGGGAGTTCAAGTATCTCAGGGTCTTGTTCACAAGTGAAGGTAGAATGGAGTGTGAGATGGATCGGCGGTTGGGTGCAGCTTCTGCAGTGATGCGGGCGCCGCACCAGACTGTCGTAGTGAAGAGGGAGCTGAGCTGGAAGGCGAAGTTTTCGATTTACTGGTCCATCTACATCCTGAATAGGGTTGGGATCCGGATCTGGTTCTTTTTTGGAACCGGGTCCAAAGTTCCAGTTCCGGAACCGGTGCCATCACATTTGGAGTAACGGTTCCTGCAAACAGTTTCTAGATTGTAAAAAAAAAAAAAAAAAAAAAAAAAGAAACCTTCACGTGCATTTCCATTAGAGTGCGGCACGGGCCGCATATTTCTGTCCGAACCCGACCGAGCCCGACATTATTTAACGAGCCTACTAATGCACTGAGTTTGTGTCACACAGTTGTTATAGTTACAGGCTATTTAACAGGCCGGGCATGCGCCGTGGGTGCTCTGCGGAGAGGGAGACCTCCGTGTTTGAGACGGAACGGGCGGCGGGAGGTCCACTGCTTCCAGCGAGGGGAGAGGGAGAAATATAACAAAATAAGATAAAATAGGAAAAACCTGTCTCCCTCTTTTATTTAATTTAAACAGCGTTTAATCAAGGCGGAGGCGGGCGGTGGAAGGTCCAACGCTTCCAGCAAGGGGAGCGGTAGAAACAAACAGCCAATATGTGTGTGTGTTCTGTTCAGGTGTTGTCATGTAAATAACAGTGCCCAAGCATGAATGCATATAAGTATTTTTTATTACATTGCTGTGGTTAATTTGAGGTAATAGTGTTACTGTAGAAATCAGAGAATCACTTTTTGTTGTTATATATTCTCAGGGAGATGATACAAGCTCTAAATCTGAAATACACACCACACACAAATGTGTATTTTCATCTAATTGTACTGTGCAACAGTTAGAATAAAGTTTTTGTATTTGTATGATTGCATTTGTGTTTATTATATACTTGTTAAAGTATAGCAAGTATAATGAATATAATGTAGGAATCGGTAAGAGGAATCGGTAAGGAATTGGACCCTTAAGAAGGAATCTGTAAGGAATCGGAATTGTTAAAATCCTAACGAGTCCCAACCCTAATCCTGAACCTCACCTACAGTATGGTCATGGGCTCTGGGTAATGACCGAAAGAATGCCATGAGTTTCCTCCGTGGGTTGGCTGGGCTCAGCCTCAGAGATAGGGTGAGGAGCTCGGACATCTGGAGGGAGCTCAGAGTAGAGCCACTGCTCCTTTGCATTGAAAGGAGTCAGTTGAGATGGTTAAGGCATCTGATCAGGATGCCTCCTGGGCGCCTCCTGTTAGAGGTGTTGCAGCCATGTCCAACTGGTAGGAGGCCCCGGGGCAGACCCTAAACATGCTGGAGGGATTACATATCTCATCTGGCGGGGGAACACATTGGGATCCCTGGGAAGGAGTTGGAAAGCGTTGCTGGGAAGAGGGACATCAGGGGTGCTTTGCCTGGTCTGCTGCCCCCACAACCAGATAAACAGTTATCAAAAAAATTGATTGAGATGAACTTAAATTAGAAAAAAATACATGTTTAAAAAGAACAGCATTAATATTAAAAGATGTACTTAAGTATATTTAAGTGCATCTTAACTATATTAGCCCCAATTTACACTAATACATTAAAAATAGCACACTTTTAGACCATTATTTACATGCTCATGGAGGTATACTAAGTATACTGAAAACAGGTGTACTTCAGTATACTTAAATTCTACTGACACAAAACACTGATGCAAAAATGGTTTATATGAGGTTCCACTTAATACTATGTGTGAGATCCCCTTTGTATGCTGTAGGCAACCATCAGTATACAGTCTGCAGTGTGTTGTCTACAGTTTCAAATTATGGTCACTGCTCCTCTTTGCTGATACAGTTTGTCTGCCAAAAGTTGCTGAGTTGCACTTTGTCACACACTGTGCACTGCAGTCTATTTTGTGCTTTTCTTGCTTTTAATGTCACAGGATGAAATTTCATGCACAAACAGCCTCTTCCTTTCATGTGTAAATTGCAATTTCGTGACATTTGCCAGCGTGATATTTCACACTTTGTGCCACAAAATGCGGGTTAATAGTGTGGGATGAATTCTGTGTATTTTGTGCATTAAAGTACGGTCACATGACAAAATTGCCCTTGCACTCAATCAGAGTGATCACGGAGTGCGAGAATGAAACCAGTTCGTGGTCTAGTGGTGTGACAATGTACTAAATATGGCAATGAAACAATGACCTATAGATTCAAACACAGTGCAGGCAACCCTGTCTCCTAAAATGTTTGTATGTAACTTAACTGCTTTCTTAATTACGATGTTGTGGCAACGTAATTGCTGCCTGGATCATGTTCAAAGACAACATTACTGTCAGATACCGCAACTCTACATTCGTGTCCCGCCTAGGCTTCAATAGGAGGTGGTTGAGCAGGATGGCGGCTATACAAAGTGCAGGACTTTAACAACAGCAAAGGCTTGCGTCACGACTCCTGCCTTAGGTTTAGCAAACAAAAGCACTTTGGTTAAGGTTTGGGGAATGTTGTAATTTTGGCCAAAGGTTGAAAAAAGGTAATATAATGCTGTAATGGATACTGTATTGCAAGAACAATTAGTTCAGGATCAACATTTTTTTGACTTGGCAGGTATGCTAATTAGAAATACTTCCTCAGTATGTTAATATATCCCCCAAAATATAGTTTTAAATTAGTTGTACATAAACATCATTTCTAATAGACAGGGCTGGTGCATGAGTGTTTCTATGGGCTGACCAGCACACAGAAGTTTAATGTGACCATACCAGTGGTTCTCAAATGGTGTGCTGTGATGCAAATCCAGGTGTGTCGTCGGATTTTGAGATAACCACACATTATTACGGCAATATTCAACTGAGCCTTTACATAAAGTTATGAATCTTTAATTGCCTTTATCATAATGTTGTGCACACCCATTTCCTAATAAAGAGGCAAACTCCAGCTAAAAATGTAACGTAATTGAATATCTAACATTATTTCCTATTTAAATGAGTGTGTTATTGGTGCTTTGATGTAATTTTAAAAGGTTTAAAACTGAATTATTGAATCATTTCATGACTTACCATTGGTTGTCAATTGTTATTTGATATAAGCAAACAAAAACAAGGATTTATGCCATGATAAGATTGATAACGCAACTTATAGAGGCTATTGTGCACAGATGTGTGCCTTGAGATTTTGGCTCACACCATACCTTCACTGTATGCACGAGGGACCCACTAAGTGTCATGACTGTGTGCTTAACTGCATTAAATTAGTACTGAAAGCATTAGAAACGATTGTCAATTCATCTGCTAGGCAACGGATAGAAAAGTTCATTCATAGCTATTTAAATAATAAATTAGAATTTAAAGTCATTTGTCAAGCAAAAATGACAAGTCTCTCTGGTTCCAGCTTCTCTGCTTCTTTCTATAGTTCGTCCTTGTGAATTGAATGTCTTTGCTTTTTGTACGGTCCATCCATTCATCTATTTTCATCCGCTTATTCAGGGCCAGGCTGCGGGGGCAGCAGGCCAAGCAAAGCACCCCAGACGTCCTTCTCCCCAGCAACACTTTATAGCTCCTTGTGGGGGACCCCAAGGAGTTCCCAGGCTAGATGCAATATGTAATCCCTCCAGCGTGTTCTGGGTCTGCCCCGGGGCCTCCTACCAGTTGGACATGGCTGGAACACCTCTAACAGGAGGCACCCAGGAGGATCCTGATCCGATTCCTGAACCACCTCAACTGACCCCTTCTGACGCAAAGGAGCAGCGGCTCTACTCCGAGCTTCCTCTGGATGTCCAAGCTCCTTACCCTATCTCTAAGGCTGAGTCACCCCACAGAGGAAACTCATTTTGGCTGCTTGTATCCGTGACCTCATTCTTTCGGTCACTACCCAGAGCTCATGACAATAGGCGAGGGTTGGGACGTAGATGAACCAGTAAATCAAAGCTTCATCTTTGGGCTCAGCTCCCTCTTCACGACGACAGTCCGGCGCAGCGCTTGCATCACTGTAGA